CTGATTGGTTTATTTGGCCCGTCTATCACCAACATAGGCCAATCAGCTAACCAGTATTTTCGCCCCTTCCCAAAATTACTTCAACTGAAGGTTTCCAGATGGATATGCGGAGCAAATCCATCTGGCGGAGTCAGGTTACAGAAGCATACCAGCAAAACTGGTTTGCGACCAGACCCAAGCCACATTTGATGTGCATGGTTGCAGAAGTCTAATCTGCCCTCTACTGATGACCTGGAATAAGGCTAAATCCCAAACTGCCCCCTAACTAGTAACCCTTAACTATACAGGGTCATTCCCAGTGAAGTCCCACTCAGCTGTGGAGGCCCCTGGATTGTACGTGGGGATATAAACGTGAATGGGACGGCCTCTTCTCTTAAAGGGAAAGGAAAAGCAGTTGTTCCTATGGCAACACAGTGACTCCTGTAGCTCACGGGCGCAGGTTAACACAACATCAAACATTTTCTTAAAAATAAATCTATCCTGTCAAAACTATTTCAAAGAGGACCTTCCATTTAGGGATTAATGACGTCTTTGTTTTTCTGTATTTCAACGTCTTTAGTTCGCCGTTACACCCGCTGACAAGTTCCAGCCAGCCTGCACTGATGTAGACTCGCTATTTTAGTTACAAGTTTAGTTCGTTTAGTTACGAAATCATCTGTTCTTAAACCTTCTTTCTTAAAAATGACCCTGGAAAGACAATCTGGCCTTAATGGAGGAAGTCCCAACCAGGAGTCACCAGATCCAACACCAGAAATTCCTGTTGGATGAGGTTGTGGCGTTTAGCGCTCATTGAAAGTCAATAGGGAATAAATGAGCGTAGCTCCGACTGAGATAGAGCGCAGGTCTGTTTTAGTTGGACTAAGCAGCATTTCAGCAGCAATTTCATGGGTTTGACAGGAAGAGAGACGCAGTTACAAAGTAAAACACATCCGCTTTAAGGGAAAATACGAAATAAAATCTGTTAATCGCACGGAGAAAGAGTCCGTTTGGATTCACACATTGCGTATATAGTACGCAGGAAAGATGCGGTGGTGCAAAAACAATCAATGAAACATAAAAAATGTTTAAAAAATAACAAGGGTTAGACAGAGCAGATAAGCTCAGCATATCTCTGTCACCTTTTATGAAAGAAAGAAAGAAAAACTTGGATAAACTTCCCAGATCTCTCTGAGAATCACCTCTCTGCCTCAGTCACCATAGAAACCGTCCCACCGCGTTTATTGCTGCGTTTGTCTTTTCTTTAGACGTAGATCTCATTATGTTTTTAATATATGAATGTTCTGGTTTGAGATGCGGCACAGACTCGTTACGTGTTTTTCTATAGAATGCACTGGGTGTTTTTATTTTTTTTCTATAACCTATAGCACAGAGACAGAAGTGAAAAAGAATCTGCTCAGATCTGCTCACCCTGCCTAGTCGGAGCCTCTCTATACACAGTCGGTGTGACATGGGAAAGAATTTGGGTCGGAGATTAGAAAGTCGTACGGAACCGTGTTCTCAGGCCTTAAAGCTGCGCAGCTCGTCTCTCTGAATGTGGGGAAACACGGTGGTGGAGGTATCATGCTTTTGTTCAGGTCAGTATATGGAACTAAAAAGGCTGGAAAAGTCTTCAGATTGATGAAGCTTCACCTCCTCCCTTTCTGTACTTTTAATATGTGAGTCTAAGGAATAATTCGTCCTTAATGCATCTGGCTTTTTGGCCACAGAATTAAAGCAAACACCCCCCACCCCCCCTTTACTGACCTTGTTAACAGGGGCCAGCTGCGTTCGGACCGACCCGGCATGGAGTCGGGTGCTGTCCCCAAACCTCCCTGGGGAGCGCTCCCTGCGACTGTCCAGCACCCTGCCGGGGGACTTCTCTCTGTCCAGCGGCCGGGCGGGGGACTTGTCTCTCCTGAACTCTGTGCGGCCCTCCCGGTAGCGGTGCGGGGTGCTGGGTTCACGGTGCAAACCGTCATGGCTGCCGGGGCCCGAAGTCAAGCGCTTGGTGATGTGCTCCGAGTAGGTGGGGGGGCCTCGCTTACTGGGACTACTGCAGACGACAGCGGAGAGAAGCAACTCCCGTCAGAGTCTGACGCCAACCCTGACCTACCAAACAGCAGAGATCACATCTAAGCGCCCAGGTGGCCCCGCTACCATGGTGACCAGTTTGCAAGGTTGATGGGGGACGGGGGGAGCCGGGCTGGGAGAGGGGGAATTGGTACCCTGCATGTCTCTGTGCTTCGTTGCTCTGCGTCAGTCTGCCAGGGTGGGGGGTGTGGGTGGGGGGTGTTACCCAGTTTGCCCAACGATCGCCGTCTCCAGAGGTCATTGGGCAAAATGCGGAGCACACCCTGGAGAGTTAGCCGCTCCATAACGAGAGGAAACTAAATTTACTGAGACCAATTAGCAGGAGACCCTGAGAGAAGTCAGGCATGCATGGGGGGGACAGGTGGTCCGAACCCCTGACCTTCCTGCTGCTGGGGAAGCATGCTAACCACTGCCCCACCGTGCAGCCCTCCTTCTCTCACCGTTTGCTCCCCTTCGGGCTCCTGCCTTCTGTGGAAGGCGTCCTGATTTAGAGACTAAACCAGCAAACTGTAACATGAGGCTGGGATGAAGTGCACCTGGCAGACATGCCTCCAGGAAACTTCTCTGCTCTAGTTAAACCTGCTGTTTGGTGATAGCTGTGTGTTTTGGTTATTTTGTCAGCCGACCCTCTGCTGGAGCCGGTCCTCTGCAGCTCTCCGGACTCCCTGATCAGGCTTCCCTTACAGCAGATGACCCGTAGTTTGCTCTGATAGGAGGAGGCCAGGTAAATGGCTCCAGAGGAGATGGCTGGGCCCAGGTAACGAGGGTTAGGAATGTCCAGGTGAGCCAGCACTGCCGGGCTGGAAACCAGAACAGCAAAGCTGAAAGAGCGATTCTCACCATGGAGGACAAAATGTTTTGATCTGTTATAAAATGACTGGTTGTTCTCACCCCGCTGCTCCGTGTCCCTGAATTTCAATCACATCCAGGGAGTTAAAATAGGTGACAAACAGGTAGGGCTCTCTGTAGGCTGGAACACAAACCAGAGAATTCAGCAAAACAAGAGCAGGGAGAACATTTTAAAGGGCGGGATTTTAAAAAGGAACCAAAGATTAATTTACCAAAAGACAGAGGCACTCGGCTCCACTTGATCTCATCGGTACGACTTCTTCTTCCGTAAGAATCCACAAAGAAACCGAACTCTGCAGCATAAAAACAGTTTCTTCAGACCTATTGAATTATATCAGCCACAAGCAGGGGCCTAGCCAGTTGCCTAGGCCCCCAAGTTCCTGGGGGCCCCATAAAACTCCTTTAACATGTGTGGTAAATGCAGCTATTACTCATTTGTGCGCATTAATTATGACTTACTAAGCGCTCTTGTCGCTATTCACTGACTTTTCGGACCCCTCGCCAAATCTGGCGACTTTTTTCCACTGCTGGAGACTTTGGAGACAACATCTAAAAGCAGCAAACTCTTATATAATATAACTTATATTATGCTATTTTAAATTAAATTTAATGATAGTATAATATAACATTTTATGGTATTGTATAATATTAAATTATATTTGTTAATGTCATCCATATGGGGTGATAATTGCTCAGGGATGAATTAGTTTTATTGATGTAGAGTTAAACTAAAAAACTCTGGGACTCTTGGACTTTATAAATTGCAATACAACTAAAAATATCTACTATTAGATTTAATCATATGGTGTTAATATATAACACATTATGTTAATTTATATTTGATTAAGTTGGAATGTTACATATTATATAACAGTCTAACTATAAACTTATGAGGGCATCAGTGTTCCATCAGACAGCTGGTCCTAAATGCTGCTGCCTGTGTTCTCACTAGAGCTGAGAAAGTAGAGCACATCAGTTTGAAGTCCTTCCATTGGCTCCCTGTAGCTCAGAGAATAGACTTTAAAATCCTTCTGTTAGTCTAGAAATCACTGAATAGAATAGAACATAACAGATCTGGGCAGTGTCCTAGGGCCCCAAGTTCCTGGGGGCCCCATAAAACTCTATTTACATTATTATGTTTTTGATTAAAATCCTTTTACTGAAATGCCATCAGAACGCTGATAAT